GGTGGGAGTTCATAACCCACTTGAATCAAAGTGTGGAATATGATATGTCAAGAAATTTGTAATGTTTTGAACAACCCACAGTAAAAAATTAAAAATTAAAAAAAAAAGAAATATTGTGTGTTGTGCATATTTTCACTGTAATCATTCACTGACTTTTAGCTGGGTCATTATTGCATTCTATTCTACATTATATGTCAGTACAAGAACAAGAGAGGCTGCACTCTCCTATTGAGTTATTGGGTCAATAACCACACAGAGATCTTTGTGCACATTTTCCCCACTTTGTATATAAAGTAAATCTAGACCTAACTCTTTCATCTATTTCTCCTAACTTATAATGCTGAAAACAGACATTACTATTAGTCTTCTCATTCTTTCCAACATGATTCCTGATTTGATTTGACATTTCCTTCAGCACCTAGGACAGTTCCCAGCAGGCACTAAGGTTCCATCAGTTCACTGAGTTGAAGAACTTTTATGATAGAATTTATGGAAAGATCTCTAAATTAGTTAAGGAATGTTACTCAGTTTTCTGTCATTTGTTTTCCTTTAGTTCTAAAAGACTGGTGATCTTTTGCTATGGTAGTTGTTGTGGGGTAAGCAAAAACGTGAAAATTATATTTGGGGAAATCTATTCAACCAATTATTGAGAATGAACTTTTTCAACAGATACACTAGATTAATTATTATCTCCTCTTTTTGAGAAATGTTACCACTCATAGGCAAATAAACTAAACACAATAAAGTGTAAGGACAGAGAAGAATAGTGAGTTTGTTCAGACCATAGCATTGTCCAAACCTGCCAGTGGGATACTTTTTTTTGCAGCCTTAGATAGAAGATAAACTGTTAAACAAAATATTGTCTATGTATTCTGATTCTCAAAACAAATAAATAAAAGTGGATAATAAAATCCCTGGGTGTCATGACTTTGACAAATTTATTGGCTGGATAAAAATGTCTAACATAAAACATGAAAATTAAGGAGTGATTTCTTATGTATGAGAAAGGGCAAACAAAAACAAGAAAACCTTATTATCTGTCCCAAACTTCTAGGATCCTAAGGATGATATAGAAAAGAGACATGAAACATTTGACTAAAATTAACCATTAAAAAAGTTTGCATGCTTTCTATTTGAAAAACAGCAAAATCTCATTTTGTGAATTTTAAAATTTCGTTATTGAAGTTTTATCATTTCCAAACTATTTTCCATAGTGCCATAATATTAGAAAGCACATTCTTGCTAGAGGCCATGTTCCCCACATCAGTCATTAACTGTCAGTAGCTTTTACTATTTGCCATTCTTTCTGTTTCAGCATCAGTAATCCAGTAATTTTTTTATATTAAACAATATGTCTTTGGATCTGTTACCAACCCCGAGAGGAACCAAGTGAGACTGCCCTACATTGGACATGCTTATTACTTAGATGGTTTGAGCTTATAAATTTAAAGCTTCAAGACGGACATCCTGCAATAGAAGGAAAAAGCCGGTATAGCCTAGTGATAGGGGACAGACCAGATGCTTAGGGCTTGCTAGAAGTTTAAGTGTCAAAATATTTAAGCATTAAAAAAGTCTTTCATGTAAGGAACTTCAAAACCTGTCAAAACTGCACTGCTAATGGCTCTATAATAAAACATGTCCCTGAGCACAAAAGTGGAGGCAAGAAAGAGTTAAAGGTTTTACATCTGCAAGGAAGAATATTTCTATTGGGACACAAGTAGCATAAGATGGTGTGAGGGGGAAGAAAAAAAAAAGAGAGAGAGAAATGTGTTACAGAGGATGGGGTAGAGAGAGGTGATGGGAGGGGAGGGGAGGGGAGGGGAGGTAGGAAGGGCAGCAGAATACAACAGACTCTAGTATGGCAGTATGCATAAACGTGGCTGTATAACCAATGTGATCCTGCAATCTGTACATGTGGAAAAATAAGAATTCATACCCCATTTGAATCAAGTGTATGATATGTCAAGATCATTGTAATGTTTTGAGCAACTAATATAAAAAAAAGCACCTATCATACGGTATACAATTGGTTAAACAGAACTTGCCTCTTGTTGCAGACTGTTTCTGCCCACCCTCAATTTATAGTTCAGATTTTAAACTTAGTGTGATGGTATTAGGAGGTAGGGTCTGTGGGAGGTAAGGAGGTGAAGGGAGGGAAGACTTTATGCATGCAATTAGTGACTAACAAAGGGGCCCCAGAGAGCTCACCAGTCTCCCTTCCACATGTGAGAATTCAAGGCAAGAATTCATTTGTGTGTAACACAGAATAGGTCCCTCACCAGTTCCAAGCCATTCTGGCATCCTGATCTTCAGATTATGAAGAGTAATTTCTGTTGTTTATAAGCCATCTAATCTATGGTAGTTTACTATAGCAACCTAAAATGCATAATGCCTCTGACTTGAATATTTCAAACCTCTAAATCTTAATTTAACATTATGTGGGTTATATCCTATTACCCAGGAATCTATAGCTTCATCTTGAGAATGGGCAAAAGTTATTCACACATGCAATGAACATTTATCTTAAATCTACTTTATGTCAATTACCATACAGAATTTTTTAAAAAATTCATGTTTCTGTTTTTTGACCAGATATATTGCAAATATGCCATCATTACCAGTTTGGCATATTGTAGTACAGGTATTTAAACAACTCTTCCAAATCTCAAGAGTTTTTAGGTAGCTAAGGATTCAGGAAAATGAACAACATTTAGATTACAGGATTACAAATAAATGAATATCTAAAGCGAAGAATAATGAGAAATGCATGGAAACTAGCCAGAGATCTGAAGCTGGAGAACTGAAAGATCAAACTACTCTTCTCTAAAGGAAGATAGGAAAAAAAGTAGAGTTGAAAGGTTAAATGAAAACAGAAAAAAAAAAATCGTTTTTTCCAAATGGCAAAAAAATAAAGAAAAGCAAGTGTTCTATAAATTATTTTCCCTGATGCTAATAAAATATCTAATGTATGTTCATCACATAAAGAAATGTGCAAAGACATGTTCAGGAAAGCTAGTTTATAATTAGTTCATAGATGCTCAGTTTGGGGGAATATGTCAGATCTACCCAAAGTGCTATTCTGGAGAGAGAAAACCACACTTCCCACTTCATCCCCACTGGAGGAAAGGAAGGAACAAGATCTTGAGGGGAGGTATAGTTTTAATATTGCTAAGTCTGTGATAATTCTGTTTTAATCCTTGGAGTTGAGACCCACATGATCAGTTGGTGATTCACTGAGCCTCTGCAGAGGACAGACCACATTTATGGAAAAAAAAAAAAAAAAGTCACCTCTAAAGACACTCCTATTCCCACAGCGGGAGATTTCTAATTGGATAGAGCTCCCATTCCCATATCAGACTTACTTGGAAGTGCTGTCTTCCTCAAAGTCCACTGAACCCCAGGAGTGAGGGGTGAGGTCCACAAAGAAGAGGAGGTTAGTTCAGGATTTTCACTTTCACAGAGGAAAGTGAAACTTTCACTATAACTTCACTCTAGCTTGGGAGCCAGTAATCTTAAAGAGGTCTTCATATATCTCACAAGAAAACTTTCTAATTCCTGCGTAAATTTCTTTCTACTGGCGAAAGACAGTAAAATCATTAAAGCCCAGAGTGAGATCTCAGAAGGGGCCTCTTGGTTTGGTAGAGCTGTCTGTATTTCAGTGTCCAGGTCAGGGGACCAATGAGATGTGAGAGAGCCACTGTAATGTTGTTTCTCAAGTCCTATTGCCAAACACTGCCACAGAAGAGACCAGTCGCTGGGGGGCTGTGAGGGAGAGGTAGGTGAGTAGCATTTCCATATCATCAGTATGTTTCAGACCTGTAAGAGAATGGCCAGAGAAGAGAGAGCACTAAGAATGGCCACTGGCTCTTAAGAACCCCTGTTAGGAGTTTTACCCCTGCAGGTAAAGCCTTCCTGCTTTGTCAATGCCAAAGGATAGAAGTGGCAAGGAAGAAAGCAAAGAGGCCCTACATCTCTGCACTGACAGAGGCAAAGGACTCCTTGTGGCCTCTCAGGTGTTGGAGAGGAGGCCTGGGAAACTTGGAATCCCTGACTCCTTACTGGCTGCTCAGTTATACCTCAGTTTAACAGCTCCCCACCCTTCCCAAGTCATCCCAGAAAAATGCCCCAACTACTCTTAACCTGGAGCCTGCATTATGGGGCACCTGACTAATGACCAAGTGTTCACAAGTGCCCATTTCTTACTCTCTGCTTTGTGCTGACCAAACTCAAATCAGGCAGCTTCTCCACACAGGCCCTTGAAATTTAGCCCCGGACTCCCAATCTGAGCAAGCACTAAAATGGGGAACAGTTGCCCTTGTCACTTGCTCCCCAAAATTCTTGGAACACGGATACATTTCTTGTTAAACCATGCCCTGGCCAATGAGTTTATTCCCTTCATGTGCCCCACTTTCTCCTGTGGCTACTCCCCTTACCTAATAGGAAACAACAAATCAAAAACTCTGATTTTCAGTTTGGTTTTGGGAGGCTTGTGGATTTATTCACTATGATAATAGTCGTTCTAATTAAAGTCTTTCCCTATCTTATGTAAGTCTGCATTTGTTTTTACTTGATATTGGTGTGCAGCTAAGAATGATCCCAAGTGAGTGTGAGCCTCCAAAGGTAAGGAATGAAAACTCGGGGCCCCTTGCATTTATCTTTTTGGGGAAAGGTAAAGAGGTCTGCGATGAATAGTTCTCTCTTAAACTTCAACTTTCTAAAGCGAAATGAATTTCGAAATGAAGTTTGAAGCTTGAGCTCTAGGAGTTCTGGCTGGGCAAGAAAATTGCTGGTTGGAAAACACCATTGTGCTCACTGCTGGGGCGAAGGGTGTGCTCAGAACAGTGTGGGGTGGAGACAGAGGAATGAGGGGTGGGATGGGCGGGGAAAGAAGGGGGAGGTACACCAGGAATTAGTAGAAACCGCGCTTCTGTGGGCGAACACCGGTGGGGGGTAGGGAGGAGGGTGGTCTTAGCCTCTGCACCCTGAGGTCACCAGCGGCGGCAGCCGTGGCTAGAGCAGCAAACAGCAACAGCGAGCGGGACGGAGTTAGGACCGCTCGGAGCGCCCAGGTCTCGAGGTAGTATAAGGTTTGCAATCCTTCCACTTGCTGGCAGTTGCAGAAGATCTCCTTTTTAAGTGAAACGTACATGCCACCCCTCCGAGGGCTGCGGCTTCCCTGGGCTGCTTCTTTGCTTCTCCCTTTTCTGGCCCTCGCGCTCACTCTTTAATTTGTCTGCGCCCCTAAGTTTGCCAAGAGCTCGCTTTGGGCTGGGAGAAGGGTCCCGGCCAGGCGCCGCGGGCGGGGGCTGGGGACCCGGGAACCGCAATCCAGAAGCATCGTTGGCCATGTATATTTCATCAAACGGACTTTGGGTGCGTCGCGTCTCGCAGCCATCAACGCTATGTGCAGTGACATTTCTGACTTGAGTGGAGGAATGCGCGAAGGAAGCCCGGGCGAAATTGGTACTAGAGGATCTTCTTGGCGCCAATGCTAATTGTCCTGATTTATGTCCCTTCTGACTAAGCTCAACGTCTTCATCTGAAATAAAATGAAAGCGGTGCCAAGCGGGATAGAACCGCCTGGCCGCTGGTTCTGATCCCTGGGAATCAGGAAATCGTCCTGCAGCTTAAAAAAAAAAAAAAAAAGAAAAGAAAAGAAAGAAAGAAATAGAAAAAAGAAAAAAAAAATCCCTCAGTAAAAGTTTAAGGCGTGAAGTGGCAGAGGCAGCGGCGCGAGGAGGCGCGGAGAGCCGGCGAGCGGAGAACTGGGCTGGCAAGACCTCCGAAGGCTGCGATTTCATTATTAATATCACTATATTTTTGGAGGGAGAAGCACCTTTCTCATCCTCTCTTCCTCTCCGCCCACCCCTTCTCCCTCCCCCTCATCTACCTGTCAAAGTCACTGATCTTTTGCATTTCGGAAGAGGACGTCAACGGGAAGGAATTCCCCCTCTTGGTGCGGGCTCCAAGAGGGGGAGACGCGCTGGAGGCTCCCCACCGGGGCGCGAGGCGAAGGTAATTAAGCGGCCGGGAGTGGCGTACCGGCGTGGGTTCTGGGTCCGCAGAGTCCTCTCCCGCAGTCTGCCGGGCGCGATCTGGACCCCGCGGCTGTGGCGGCGGCAGCGGCGGCGGCAGCTCGGGTTCACACCCCCAGCCTTCCCGTTCCGCCCGCGCCCCAGGAGGAAGCTCCGCGGAGCTGCCGCCGCCCGCTGGTGCGCCGCCCGCGGGCTCCGCTGCTGCGGCCGCCGCCCGAGGCGGACCAGGCAGGGCAGGGCCGCCGCCCCGCGCCGTCGGCTTGGCTCCCGCCCGGCGCAAGGGCAAACGGGCCACACGGTAAGTGCTGCCGGTTTCCCTCTCCTCCTGCGACCCGAGCCTCTCGTCTTTGCCCCGCTCCCCGGGCTTCCTCCCTCCCTCTGGCCCCCCCAGTGCCATCCACAGGCGGGAGGGGAGACTCCGGGTGGGCGAGGAACTTTGGAAAGCGCCTTGAGGAGGCAGCGCGCGGAGCCTCTGTGCGCAAACACAACCCGCACCCTCTCACACCCACACACAAGTCTTCCTGGGTGTGCGCCCCGAGCAGGTTACGTGTCTGTCTCTTGTCTCGGGAGCCCGGGCTCTGGGTCGGTGCCTCTACCCACAGCCTGACAACACACCGCGCTGTCTCTCACACACTTGACCACACACAACGCTCAGGAGGGCTATTCTTGTTCTCATTTTCTTTCTCCAATTGTCTTCTTTGGGAGAAAGAAACTTGCCCCGATGCCAGCCCTGTGGAGCTGGTGGCTACACCGAGAGCTTTTGAACTCCCCTTCTTTTAATCTCCTTTATTGGTACGAGATTAAAGCACTACTATCCCACGTTGTGCAGCTGGGGAGAAAGGGAAATTGAAAAGGGAAAGACTAGGTGTAGGAATGCTGTTTGAAATCTTTTCTCAGACACAGACACATTAATCAGTTGATGTATTCGGCAAGGGACATTGAGTTGCTCTCTGATATGAATCTGTGGATATCTATATATAATACAAATAATACCGAATATTATTGGGCCCAAAATAACCAATTAAGTGATTCATACAAGAGAAAACTTAGATAAAAAAAGAAACTGCGCCCTCTGCTGTTTATTTTGGTAACCTCACCAGGGCACCATTTTTTTTTTTTTTTTCCAGAAATCCACTTAAGAGTAGGTTGTCATTTTTACAAGGCAAGAGGGGAAAATTCCTAGAGGAGGGATTTGAGAGCAACTTTATTTGGAAAAGTCGCAGGTTGAGTTCTTATTGTTGAATCAGGTGTAGATTTCTAGAGCATAGAGGCTTTTGTTTCCCCTATTCCACATCCTTCTCTTTGCCCAAGGAAGAATGGAGCCACTCCTTATGATAACAGTTTGTCAATCTTTGGAATGGAAAATTCTGAGTAAGAGTCAGAATTTCACCAAACATATGGTGAATCTGGCAGTAGATTTTCTCTAGAAATAAGGCCTCATTTTAGGATTGAAAATACTAAAAGTTATTTTACAGGAATAAAAAAAAGTAAGATGTTTCCATCAAATTCATTCATTCAACTATGCTTAGTGGTTAGGATTGTCAGAAAGTTTTCTTCTTTCGGGGGAGGGTCAAGTTTTTTTTAAAATTTGTCTAGCCTTTGAGGTGCATCTCTAACCTGTGAGAAAATCATCAAGCCCACATTTAATTATTTTGAACTGTCACTTTGAATGCCTTACCTGCCCCCTTTTCACTTTGGCAAAGAAAAAAGAGCTCAGTAACTGTCCAGGATTATTTTTTGAAAATGAACAACTTTCAGTTTTTTTCATTAAAATAAAATTTTGATCCCTGCTTGTGGATCATCACGTAAAGAAAAAAAAATGCACCAAGGTTTTCACATGCAGTGTTGTTCCAGCTTACATATAAAAGGGATATATTTTCTTTTTTGGTTGCCATAAAATGAAAGACATTTAATCACAAAAGGCCTGCATGGGGGCATTCAGAATTTCACATATCTAGGTGAATTCTATTTGATGATATTTCCTATTGTGTAATTTAAGAAGGGTAATCATGAAAATTTTGAAAAGAAGCAACTTGCTTTATTTGGACATAAAGCTGTTTTCCTATTAAGATTTTTGTTTTGTCAGCTTTCTCTGGAATTTGGGTTAAAATGATTCAGATTTGTTTTTTTTTTATTTTTTGGAAGAGACTAATGTATTTTGCAGTTTTCTTTTGTGTGTTTGAAACTGGTGCAAATATTGTCTTCACTTCCATTATTGTTCTGAAAAACATCAGGTGATATGTTAAAAAAAAAAAAAAGTTAAAGCCTTACTTAGTTAGTTAATAGGTTTTCTCAATAAGGATTTGGAGACAGTTTTCAAGTGACCAGAACACCAAGTTACTTGGAAGGAAATAAAATTTCATACAACTTAGGAAACCAATTGTATTTCAGTATTGAAAAGTGTGTACATATGTGTGAATTGCAGTGTATTATAGGTCAGTAAGTTACTTAGTATACTTTCAAAAATAATTTGTATTTTTATTATCCAGAGTTTGTTTCAAAACTTTAGATGGGTGTATTTGAGAAGTTGGCTCTCTGAACATTCCTGTATGAGAATAAAAAATTTATTGTTCATGTGGTAATTAAACAGATTTCTTCTAGGCTTAACTGATTCTGCAATAATTTTATTTATTATCCCATCCATAGACATTCTGCAAAATGTGTGCTGATTTCTGTAATCAGTCTTCTCTTGGTGAAAATAGAGACCTTTTGATACTAAGGTGTGTTACTTGGTTTTTATTAAGAATCTCATGATAGGCAGTTGCTCATAATACCCAATCAAGTATGACTAGAATATGCCAATGATGTTTCAGTACATGGTAAATTCTTTATATTTGAGAGCAGTTAATAAAAAGACGCCTATATTTCCCATTAAGAATACTCAAAGATACCTTCTTCATGACAAGTATGTGCAAAGAGCATTCAATATATGTTAAAACATCTCATGTAATAAATCTCATTATGATCATATGGGAAGCTGCTAATTTTGAGAGGTTATAGAATTTGTGTCTTTTTTTCCTCTTATTTTTCACTCAATGGAGTCTGATTATAGTCAATTTTTCTTTTGTTCCTTTCCATTCAGAAACATGCATATTTATAAAATTCTTAATGCCTATAAAGAATGAGTCAATAGCTGTCTATTTCAGGTGCCCCTGAAGAGCTGAATATTTATGGAATGAATAGCCTACTACTACCACCCCCACCTCCTAGTGAGATTATATAATAAAATGAATGCTGAAAGCTAGATAGAGTTAGTAGATTTACTGGCAATATTTTCCTCTCAGTTGATGAAATTGACAGTTGCTTTTAGAATAGAATACAATTGTTTATCATTTTAATTATTACTACTTTCCTTAATATTTTGTGAGGATTTTTATTTTACTTTGTTTTTACCACTCTGAAGGAAGGGCCCGTGAAATGCCTTTTTACAAAGTGAATCCAAGGTGGAAAGGAATTAGATAGAATCTCAGAAAAATATATGTTCCATGTATGCAAAGCCATTTTATAGCCCATTTTAGCCTTGAACAATAATATCTATGAACTTGAGGGCTGTGCCATAATTTGGCATATTTTTATTGGCTTTCCAAATTTATACACCAGAGTTCTATGGAGTACTCATGGCTTATTAACGGGTATTTTTTTTTTTTTCTTTTATCAAAGAGGACCTCTTAGTCCTCAGCTCACAGGTAGAGATGATGGCATTATTTGATTACAGTGAGTTCCCAAGGTTGGCAAAGTAAGAACTAAAGCTGGGACAGCCCAGAGTTCTTTTGAAGCTACCCTTAGTTAGGCGATCCAGGCACTTGAGACAAATTCAAAAGCCACATTACTTGGCAATTAGTTCAGTTATGGGCCAGAAGGGATACCTTCAGTATATTAAGTCCCCAAATATGTCATTGACTGTCCTTCTCATAATCGGTTTGCCTAGCTATTTGCTATGATGACCTAGCTTTTAAGAAGCTATTGATATTTTTAACCTGGTGGAAAGCATGGCCAGATGGGAACCAGGGCCATTAGGTAATAGAGGTCATGGCGTAAATCATATTCTATTTGTACATCATTTTATTTTCTTTGAAAACTCCATAATTATGCTTCAATAACACATTCCTGATTTTCACAGAGGTTTTTTTTTTTTTTCCTTTGTGTGTCATGGAAGTTCATAGATTTAAATCCTCACTAATTTGAAGTTAAAATGATTTTCTTTGCTATGTGTGTGGCACTGAAAAGTAAGGAGACCCCGAAATGAAGGAAGTAAGAGAGGCTAAAAATGTAAAAATCAGAATTAAAAAAAAATCAAATAATTATTTTAAAAAACCAGCTCAGTGACCCTCTGTTCCTGATCTGTAATGTACTGTGGTCAATATCTTTTTCTGTGTCAATGGGAGCTCATTAAATGTAAATTCTGCAGACTAACTGAGCCATGCCATATTAGTGCTTGCCAAAGCTTGACATTTTTAATACATTAATAATATGTCTGTAATGTAATGGAAAACTATTAATCACAACTGGTTATATGCCAGAAATTTAAGCTATAATTGGCTGCTTCTTGTCAAGAATGTCTGTCGCACAGTCCTGCAACTGCCTAATATTCAAATATCTTGCACTCCTCTGCATTTTTCCTTGTCAGTTCTCTAAATTCGATCAATGGTGTAGTCCATAATTCTGTGTAATGACCATCATTATAATTCTGATATAATTTAATGAGAATTCGTTATATTGGGATTACTGTTGTATCAGGATACAGTAACAGGTCCACATACATTTCCTTAGTGTCCAAGTTTTTCATATACAAACGTGTGATCACTCTTTTATTTTGAAGTGGAAGTAAAGCAAAATGTGGATGAGGACAAACTAACCAAGAATAAATGGATTTAATGAATAATATTGGTTAAGAAAAGTGAAGACTAATCTCAGAGATCATTCAAATATATATTTGAAGTCATAATCTTGACATAGAATTATGAATTAACATATAATGCTCCCTCAGTTCAGATTCAAAACAGTTTCAGGTTTTCAAGACTATATCGTTCTTGATAAATAAATTGCTGTATATTTGAAAAGATGAATTGAAGTTAATAATTTCTGACCTAGTTGATTTTCACTGCTTCACTTATTTAATGTTCACTACCTTCACACTTTACAGTGTTTGTTTCTTCTTACAATAGTAAACATGGTTGAAAAATTGCCTTCAGAAAATGTGGATATATATCATTTTAACGCCTTTTCAGATTATTAATTGTCAAAGTGTTGAATGTTTCTGAAAATATCAACTTAAAATTACTAATGAGTCTGAACAAAGCAGAAGGCTGTAGTAGCCACAACACATGCTCCTCTGTGATTCTGTTTCTTTTTAACTTAAGATTTCAAAATGTACTCAGCACAATATAGTTTTTACAATACAAGGAAGAGACAGATTCAAATCTTAGTTTATACGTGTTTAGACACATTGTTAATTATTGCTTCCTAGACCTCAAATATTCAACACTTTTCCTAATAGAAAATATCACAAATTGCAGCTGTATGATAACATTTTATGAATCGAATATAATGAAAATTGCACTTGCATCCATAAAGCAATTATTATAAATTACTTTGCTATGGAAACACAATTCAACCATCTGTTGGCATTTCATAGTCTCCGTGGCCTAGTTCATTTTAAAATGGTGCATTATTTAAATATAGTAAATTCCTTTATAAGATTGTTTGAAGATAATGAACTCCCATATTTAAACTATTTAATGTGTATCATAGGGTCTATAGTGGATTTTCCAAAGCTGTAGATTTTTTTTGTCCTTTTTGAATCATTTAAGAAGTAGTTAATAATTTAGACTATGAATATGAAACAAATAATTAATAAAGTTCATTTGCTTTTAACACCTGGATTCAAATGTTAGCATTTGTTTACATTTAGATAGTGGTACCTAGAGAGAAAAGTTGCCAGTTAAACTCTTCAATGAGTTGTATCTGTAGTTAAGTAGGCTGCATTATCAGTTTACCAAAAGTATGTTTCAACGGTAATTTTTATTTTTTTCATAGAAATAGTGCCATATTATTCTGCTTCATGGCCTGTTAACTCACCCTCAGCTATTTTTATATGTGCATTTTAAATTGTGCATTTTACTACAGAGCTTTACTTTTAAAGCAGCGTATAATATTTGCCTTTGGGACAAATTCTCTTCTGTTACAGAAAATAACTGCAAATGCAGAAGTAATGCTTATAAAAATATGTAAGAAAACAGAAAATTCTTACGAAAGGAAGATTTGCTCCTTGGTTTTATTTTTTATTTTTTTCAGAGAGCCAAGTTATCTTTATCAGTAAATGCAACTAAACAAAAGATGCTAAATTCTCCCAACATAATGAGCAAATCCAAAGTGACAGGCTTGTGCCAACAATGCTAGTTTTCACTCTGGCTAACAAAAGCTAAGAAATGTACAAGGAACTTGGAGATTCTTAGACTCTCTTTGCCAAGAGACAAAAGGCATACAAGTGGTTGTCATTTCTTTGTCATTGTTATAAAAGCATTTATTTCCCTCATTGTTTGCTTAGAAGACTTTCTAGCAGTACGATATGTGAGAAATGTTTAAATCTAGCAGCTTGCTTTCAGTTTAGTTCAGATGGAAATAATTTTTGAAGCGAAAACCTGTAACTCACCTGGAACACACACATCTGTCTTTGCTAGGGAAGAGTTAAATCCTTCATATCAGATCTCCCCTATGTGAATGATTTCCCTGGTTTGCTCATTCTAGCAAAGCAGCTGAGTAAAGGTTATCCAGATTACACCAATTTGCTTGATATTGCATCAAACCTCCAAAATGTCAACATACCATACACTTCGTAATGCATTGACTCTGGGACAATAACTCTTACTCTTATTGTTTCTTAAAGGGTGTTGGTGCCAGAAGAAAAGGATGATTGATGGGAAACAGACACCGGATGATAGACGCACATCCTTTTGCTTCCGATACTGATATCTCAGCGGCGCCTGGGCAGCCCTTGTGAACCGTGAGCATTGAGGATCACTCAGGGTTATCGGATGTACAATGGGAGAGCCATCACTTTGCTAAATTATTATCTGCTATTGGACATCTTTTACAAAAACCAAACTTGATATGTTCTAGGACGACGAAAATGCTCCAAGTTGCTGTTAATGCCTAACACACAAGTATGTTAGGCTTCCACCAAAGTCCTCAATATACCTGAACACGCACAGTATCTTAATCCTTCACATCTGATTTTGGATTCTGCTTTTGAGGTCTGATCCTCTTTATTCTTTTCTTTCTTTTTAAAAATATACAGACCTATCTACATAAAGACATATATATATATATACACACACAAATATACATATATATATAAACAAATGTATATGTAAAATAGACAAAGATTACAGATAAATCACGAAGATTGCAAAGAATTTAGAAATGTATTTGTCAAGATTCCTGTCCATTCATGCCCTTTGGGTTACAGTGTCTTCAGTGATGCAGCCCTACCCTTTGGTGTGGGGACATTATGATGTGTGTAAGACTCAGATTTACACAGAAGAAGGTAAAGTTTGGGATTACATGGCCTGTCAGCCAGAATCCACGGACATGACAAAATACCTGAAAGTGAAACTGGATCCTCCGGATATTACCTGTGGAGACCCTCCTGAGTCCTTCTGTGCAATGGTGAGGTAACCCTTCTGAGTAGAGTATTTCCCCTAAAGGGGTTGAATCGCATATGAATATGAATGTGGTGAATGTGAAGGCTCCTTTCATGTAGAGCTGAATCTGCAGGTGGCAGGTTGTGTTACCTGGCTAGTCATTCTCTGTGGAGGTTTGAACTACCTGAAGTTACATTTGCACAGTATAATTGATGCACTAGAACTTTTCTACTTTCAATTGAAGGTTAAGTTTCAGATTGGAGTTTGGGAATATGAGTAGATCATATGTGTTATGTTAAGGAGAAAATCCACTGGCAAACTTTAAAAAATTGCAAAGGTTTCTTAACATGCATATATGAAGCCAGCCCCAGGTTCCATGATTCCAGGTTAGATTCCTTCTCCTGGTTTCCTTCATTAGAAAGCAGCTATGATTTGGAAGTCCTTGGTTAGGAGACCAGTGAGAGGAAAAGCAGAGGAGAGAGGGACTAAAGTCTCCCAAGATGCTTTTTCAGAAAAGCCTTATTTGCCAACTCATGCAGTCCTTTATCATCTAGGATCACAGTTTTCTGTGCTTGTTGGAGATAATATTTGCTGAAAATAATGACCTAGGTCATACAAATTCAGATACTCTCCTTTTGATAAGCAAAGTTACAAAAATTTATTGTTCTTATGTGTCTTTTTTTTTTTTCTGGGTGGAAAGTTAAATACTATGTGAACAGATAGCTTTGGAATAAAACACTGAGTTTCAACTAAGGACATAGCTGAAAATATACCTATAAAGTAGTAATGAAGAGCTTGGTGATTAAAATGGTGTCAGTTAATGTGCCAAGGAATTCAGACACTGTGTTCATTTCTTTTAGGTGGCTGTTTTTTATTATAGACCGTCTTTGTTTGATACAGGAGCTGTGATCCTATTTTTCTCCATGTAACAGATAGAATCCTGTGGCAGATTTTAATAGTATTCTTACCTGACTTTATTATCTTGAACCTGGCCTGGCATTTTCAGGATAGTGAAACTATTAATCAAAGTAGCATCTACTCACAGTCCCCAGTGAGTTAAATTAGCATAAGATCATCTTAGCCTGAGCACTATAGAAAAGGTTTTGTAACAGGAAACAATTTTGAGCAATAAAGAGTGTTTTCACCTAAAAGCTAAGGGCTTGCCATTTTTCAGAAGTGCCTTTGGGGACTGGTTTGAATTATAGTCTAAACCTGATTTTGTGGAGAGTGAGAAAAAGAGCTTGGCTATTAGGTGTCACTATGACTAAAGTGCCCTGAAAGACTAAATATTTCAAAAAGAGGACCCGTCTCTTTGGCAAACAGGTATGTGCTTGGCAAAGAAGTTATATTTTAGAAACCATAGGCTTCTGGAGAAGTATATTCAAACATGTTAGTAAAACTATAATAAATCTGTAAAAAAAGCAGGTACATGTTGACTTTATATAAGGTCTTTAATAATTTCTCATGAAAGGTCAAATATAAGATCTCATTTCAAATCTGGGATGAAATTGCTATTCAGGTGATAGGTTGTGCAATCTTCTACTCCTTCTAGCAGAGGACAACTTCTGGGCCAACTCTTCATATTATTAAGAACACTGTAGCTCTATATATTGGTTTGCATGACACTTATAATAATACGCCTTTTCTAGCATTGTTTAATAATTTATAGATCCAAGTAAAATAGAAAATATCTCTTTTAGGGTGTCATTTCTGCTTGCACAAGTCCTGTATGATGTGTTCAAGGTATGATTTATATGTGCAGTTTCCCTGGTCTCAGCCTCTGGCCAGAGTGCTTGCTCAGCACTGCTCCTGTCCATCATGTTGAAGGTATACCTAGCATGGTGTCTGCAGCATGCCTCTTTCTCCCATTATAAGAGGAAAGGGCACATTAACAGGACTTCCTTTGCTGCCTTTCAAAGGGACATGGCCTAAGTTTCTTAAACAAGATAATTCCTACCAGTCTACTGGCTAAGTGATGTTGGAGGCCAAATGGGGGGAAAAAAAAAGAATTAAAATGATGTCCTTCAGCTGGCATTCAGGAAAGTAAGAGGAATACTTTGCATCTGTACAGAAAACTCCACAGAATAGTGTCAAAAGCCTTGGTGGATTTAAACTTGTCATTGAGTTTTATAGTTTTCCAAGGGAGAGTGTAAGGTTTGTGAGATGTTACCTATCAATCCTTAATTTGTAGTCCTTAATAAGCATATGATTGGCTTAGTAGATTAAATGATCTTGCCTTTAAATTGCACACTTTAGGACTATTTGTATGCATATTACATGCCAAGTCAATGATAATGGCCTAGTATAACAATACTTCTATGTTTTGGATTTTCCGAAAAACTCTTTTGTTTAAGGGTTCCTGACACAAAAGTATAAAACTGTCTCTCATATCAGACTTGTTTAGGTGCTCCTTAGCCCAAGGTCTAATTGGGATCCATAAATGCATTTGTGTTATGACTTACACATTAGTCCCTCTGTGACACTTGCATCCGCTGAGCTACATTCCCATCCCGACACTTGTGTCCATACCTGCTCCCTGCAAGTCATTATAGCCTATTACATCAGGGTAGCTGCCAGAGAAGCACAATCACTACTTAGCCCCTATATGTAAATGTTTGCTGCAAACAGTTTCACTTGCTCAGCTAGTGACACCCTTATTAGCTATGACTATAGCACTGTTGAGCACCAAGAGGACATCAGGTCATAGAAATGTCTTATAATTCCCATAGCTCATTTGTTTAATATAAAATTAAAGCTCACTGGCCCTGCATTAAGAGTTTGTGTTACTTTGTTTTGCCTTTGCTCCATCATTATATGACAGTGACTATCCATGAACTTTGCAGTCATTTTAATACAGAGTGAAATTTTAGAAGAGAAACATATGATTCCATTTTATAATAGGTCTTTGCTTATTAACCTGAATGACATATTTAATAAATCTTCAGTGTCAAGTAATTTGAAATGTTGTGTATTCATTGTCCAAATATTTGTAGACATTAGTTTTCTGGGAGAATTAAAGAAATAGTAAAATAAGGTGATAACATATATACCAGTTGTACATTTTGAAAGCTACTATGTATCTTCTTTTTAATTTATCATATTCGTTTTAAGTTTATAGTGGCTAAAAAAATTATGCTTTTGCTAAGGGGGAAGAATCTGAAGGGAAGAGGAGAACTAAGCATTTTTATTTTTTAGTCTGGGACAACATGTTTGTGTAAATCCTGTCCTTTCGGCCACATGACAAGCTTCAGGTAACATATCTTTGTCAGGAAACACAGATCATTGAGTGACAAGTCGTTTCAATTTGCATAAAGAGCAGGAAGAATGATCTGAACCCACATGCAAAGCCAAAGTGACAACACAAAGCTCTAACTTGTTCTTTGTGTTTAGACAAACTTAGCTGTCATCTCTCCTTGCAACACCCCAGTGGCTTAAAAATGGCAAAATCATCTGCAATTATTTCCAGCCTGAAGCTAATTTTCTGGATAAGTTAAACAAAAGCTTTGAAAGGAGCCTGCAGACGGAAGTCATATGCATGTGTACGATTTATGGTGCAGAATTGCTGATGACGATGGAAATGGGAGCCCTTCAGTGCTGCCATGGAATTCAGAGCCAATCAAAACTAAATTAGGAAACAAAGATTATTAAAAAGTCTTTTGTGCATGTAGTTTGGGCATAATATTATGAGGTGGACATTAAATGTTTCCCTTGGAGACTTTCAGCATCATTAATGCAGCACGCCTTTAATTACAAACAGAACCATATTACTAAAAAAAAAAAAAAAAAAGGAGAAAATAAAGTACTCTAAGGTGTAGTTAGCAATGCCCTCATTGTGTTTACTGAAATAATTAAAAGAAAGGGTATAATTTTTCTAAATAAAATGTCAGAATTTGAAATGAAAATGGATTTTCTGTAGGAAATTTACTAATGTGTGCTGCACTCTTGATAGGCATTTATTCAAGTACCTTAATAGGCCTATTAATGATCACTCCATATTGTGCTATTTCAAAATAGACTCCTATTAAGAAAAAGAATCTTTAATTACTGCAAGCATCGTGGATAGAGCATATTTTATTAAGTTCAAATGAAATTTACAAAAGTCCTAGAAAGCCTTTGTGTTTTATGACTTCAAAGAACCCCGGGGAGTGAGTGGTAATGCACAACCTCTCAGGGCCATCCATAACTTCAATTCCTGACTTGACGTCGTCTCAGGTTGCCATCTGGTGGCTATCAGGTGGGCTTTGAGAAATTAATTTGATAAACTTGGTTACATTTTCGGTGACAAGGGATTAATATCAACTTTCCCAAAACTGGAAATGACATTGACTTACATAATAATTGAATAGTCTTAAAAATACACTCTGTTCACATGAAACATAATTCAATAAATGAATGAAGTTTTAATGACAGTGACATTTTTCATTTGAACTGATTTATCCCTTAATTATGCCAGAATGGAATTTTTAAAAAACCCTTCATTTCTTTCATTATGAATGTCTCATTATTATTAGTTCATTATTTAGACATATTTCTTAGAAAAGTTTAATTCATGTTTGTACTGAATTAAGTTCCACAGAGATCAATCTTTCTGATTTATCACTACATCCAGTGAATCGTTGTTGAGGAGCCTCCAATAGCTCTGTGTTATCTATTGCATCAAGTATAAACTACTCTACCTGCTTTTTAAATCTGAGTTCATGAAGCCTTATTTTCTAATACTTTCCATTAGGACCCATGACATTTCTAGGGGACTTAGGGCTGGCAATCTGATTGGAAGGGTACTACTGGATTTGGGTTGAAGCTGCATTGGCATAACATGCATGTTTTATGGGGGTGGTCTGAGATGGAACTGATAAAAATTAAGGCAGGGGTAACAGAACCTTAAACTATCTCACGTCATTTATTGTTCTGAGATAGTATTTCCTATATGCACAAGTGCTTTCGTCTCTGTAGAGCTAATGCTTCACAGGTATAATTCCAGACAGCTGTGTACAAAGTGAAATGAACAATGGGTATAGAACTTGT